TAGATTATGTAAGCGTATCTCTGCTAGTTAAGAAGCTATAAGCCAAAACGTAAAAAAGCATACCCTACCCATCCGCCAGCCTAGGCCTACAATACTGGACAGTTTCAGAGCTATTAGGCTGCTGCTGCTGCATTCAACGTTAACCAACGCAGGCTCTCTGAACGCGCTAGCAATTGTAGTAGTCTGGCCAAAGGCCAATAAAGGATATCTACTTCCTAACAACTTTTGCTAAAAAGCATGCACAAGTTAACTAGACGTCTAGTTAACTGCGTAGATAATATATATCCAGCTTAAGCCAAGCCGGCTAAGCTAATGTAACCGTCTAGCTCTAGCTCTTCTTTAGCTTTAGAGTCTAGACCGTTACAGCAATACTCTATTTCAACTTAACGTACGCGCAAACTGCTAGAAGCTTACTGCAACTAAAGAGCAGACAATTGTCTAATATATCCTTAACCTTAATTTGCAAGGATTTGCGCCTTAGCTGTGTAAGGTGGCAGATATAGCTAATAAGCTGTTAGGTGTGCGTAGTAGGGAGCCTGTTAGTAAACTCTAGGCTATAAGATTTGTAACACGTTTAGATTAGCTTAAGATAGTGTTTAACTAAGTAAAGGACAGACAGAGGATACTATAAGAAGATCCTAAGGTAATTAATACATAGTTTATGCTAGTAGAGGGTACTAAGGCTAAGTATAGCATCTACAACAATAACATGCACAACTTTAATAAGACTAGGTTCTAGATAGGTGTGATAGGGTTAATGAAGGTTGTCACAGGCGCTGAGAGACGCGCTCAACCTAAGCTTGTTTAGCTAGGCAATTAGGAGTGGGTTACAGTTATATAGAGCATCTGCGCTGCTGGATATACAACCCCACCTTTCATTATCTACAAAGGACGCATCCACATCTCTGCCTAGTATAAGGAGACAGATATACTACATAATTAGAAGCTCTCTGTCTCTAAGAATAGCTAGATAAATAACGCGCTTAGCCTTAAGTAGTTAAAGCATTTTAACGCGCATACAAGAGCGCGTTAGGTAGGGGGATATAGGCTACTTATCTTAGACAGCTATAAGAGCTACCTTAACTAGGATTTTAAGGACTATTGCCTAGATAACAAGATCCTTACTCTCTATATACTAGCTCACTTGTCACACATCCTCTAGCCGCTTAACGTGGTCTATTTCTCGCTGTTAAAGCGCAAGTACTCCCAACGCGTCCAGGACTTGGCACACTAACACGTCTTCTACATTAATAAGGAAGGCTTCCTTCTAGCCTTTAGAGACGCGTTTCTTAACATGTTTATAAAGGCTAACTGTTAGAAGGCCTTTAAGGCATTAGGGCTAGTCCCTACTAACGCGCAGGTAGTGTTAGATTGCCTTAAGGTGCAACACTGTACCCCACTAGCACCCCCTCTACTAGAGACACTGTGGCAGTTAAGGACTCTAAGCAATACAAACAAGTTTAGGTCTTAGTTAAAGCTTATATATAACTCCTTTACTTAGTTACTAGTTACAGCCTAGGCTGGCTTCTCTTAGCTTATTAAAGGTAGTGAATTAATGCTGCACTAAAACGCGCTGTAAGCTGCTTGCATTACTAAGCTTGAAGAGCAATTAGCAGTCATGACTAGGAGAAAGTCGCGCAAGCGAAAGCAAATTCAGCATGGCGGCACACTTGAGTATGGCCCAGCAGCATCACGGGTAGCTGCTAAGGTGTCTGTAGCAGCTTAGCTATTAAAGAAGACTTGTGGTGCAGGTACTTAAGAAAGGACCTAGTTAGCCTAACAGCGCTGTAGAAACTGTAGAGGCATAGGGCATAATGCTTAAACGTGTTAGAAAGATACAGAAGAAGATTCTAAATCTAATAAAAGTACGCAGTATACTAGATTACTATTTAATAGCAAGTAATTTAAGTTGCTGTAACATAAGTTGGGCGCGCCAAGAGATTTTGACTGGTTTGGTGATATGACCAGCTTGGTGATAGAGTACGTTAACCCTACCTTACCTCTATCAAAGTGAAGGGATGAAAGTATTGCCCCGCATGTGTCTGAGTTTTCTCAATCGCAGCGCCCTACAAGAGCGAAGCGAAAAGGTGAGTAAGGCCTAACGTCGGTTTGAAGTTATGCTAACGCTGCCCAGCTTCTGGCGCCCCCATGCAAGCTACTTAACGGAACTCAACCAAACGTAGAATGATGAAGACTTTGATCAAGACGAGGCTGGACAGCACGACCCAAACTCTGAGCCCGTACCTCTGCTACAGCGGTACACGCAAAGCTTCCTTCAAGCCGAGACGAAGGCCTCCGACCCCGTTCGCAGAGTCTCAAAATATGTGGCAGACGAGCCTGAACAAGATTCTGAGTCACTACATATGCACGAACGGCTTATCGCAATCGAGCACCCTGCTTATCAAGCACCTGTTCGTGTGGCAATCTCGGGAAACTCTGGTATTGGGAAGTCCACGTTGTTGAACGCTGTATTGGGACTTTGAGCATCTGAATAAGATATTCATCGCAACTCGCGAAGTATGTTTCTGGAGGCTTACAAAGTTTTTATAGACGCTGACACTACACAGAACCTATCAAAACAGGTTTGCCAGGCCAAAAAAGGCTTCTGGACCACCCAAAGTCGTTTAGATCGTGCTAGGCCGGATTGACCTCCATGAGACACAATGGTTCGATAGACCTTAGAAACTTATTATCGCATGGTGCAAGTACAATCCAGCCGGTTTCCACGTTTTCCTTTAGACACGAGGGGCAATGGAGGATGGCAAAGTGCCCGCGCGCCGACTGGAACCAGGATCTCCTCGATATTGCCGAAGAGTACCTGCGTCCAGTCCTCGACAACCTTTGCGACACCGAATCGAAGGCACTGCAAGAGGAGATGACCCAACCCGTCGTGGATTTGCTTGAACAGATGGGAAGTGACATCAGGGCTTGCCTGGATTCAAACCAACACGGCGCATTCCGCGAGTACTTCGAGAACATGCAAAAGTATGAAAAGGACATTGAGGTTACGCTCAAGTTAGCCTGTAAGAAGTACGGGTCTGAGGTCCAGTAAGCGCTTCTCATCTCCTTTGATATACTGAGCTCGGAACTGACTCCAGATCAAAGACACATCGTGTTCAACGCCATGACGAACAGCAATACCAACCCTTTCGTCAAGAAGATGCAAACTATTTATGGACTTGCCTATCACGCAACCAAAACCAAGCATAACCACAGACTGCACTCCGCGCGCACGCACGTCTTCGATTCCACTCTTCTAGTACCTAGACTTGGTCCTTATATGGGGCTCAAGGAATACCTCGAGAGCTTGATTGAAGTTCGGTTGCAAGAGGTGGAATCTAAGCTTCTCGAGAAATGCGACACTGTCTTTGGTAACGTTCTGCACGATTTTGAGAACATGTGCCCTCGCCGGCCGGATGATACAACGGGAGCCACCAAGAGAAGGTATGCGCTCGGCAAAGTTGTCGAGAAGGCCAAAGCCACTTTCAATACTGAGGTGAAGTCGAAGCTCCTAGAGTGTGGGCTCAAGGTGCATTGAGTGTTCACTTCATTGATTCCAGTGCACCTCGGGAAGGAAGGTTCAGGCAAACACACACGAGCGGTGGAACATGAGAAGCAAGCCACTTTGAGCCAAGGCTACGCTTGGAGGCCCTCAATACACTGCATCGAGACGAAATGATTTCATGATTCGATGACCTCTACCGCACAATATGACGTGATCTGACAGCTGGCATGTCACTGTTAGCGGCGCAAACCAAAACAAAAGCAACCAGCAACCAGCAAGGCGGACACGAGTATTTCAAGGCCGAACGATGTGCAGCTGATGAATATCCTGCGAACATAAATAAAGCTTAAGGAACCCCACGAGAGCCCGATTTAAGTTCAATTGCAAGAGTTGGAGACGCGGACAGACCTGACAACCACCCCCAATCGAGGGGTGGATGTACGTCTCCAAAGCTGACGCTGTCTTAACGCCTGTAACTACGCTCAACGTAATACGAAGTAGGCTGCATTTGCTTAGCAGCCTGAAAGAGACGGAAACGTCTGCAACTGACGAGGTGGACACGAGTTATCTACGAACCAATGATGTGCAAGTGGCGTCTATCCCAGAACCAAGGTTGTCGGCCACTAAGCCAATGAGGGCTGCAGAACGGTCGCAGGAAGTGTGGCGTAGCTGGGCTGTGGCAGCCGCAAGTAGCAGAATTCGCAGTAAGCCATAGCGCTTCGAACGCGGTGGATCGAGGGTTGGTCTGGATGGCGGTGAAGAAGGATTGTGGGCTGAGCGACCTTAAGGAAGCGTCAATGCCGTGACTATTTCATGAGGCTCGCCATAATGCGAAAACAACGCATCCAAGGCGTTTTTCGAGTCGCAAATGTGCCCACGACGGTTGTAGAGCAAGATCGCTGCACTCTGCAGGCGATCGGTGCAGCTGTGCTATCCGTTACCGTGACCTTGTCGATTGCGCTTGCTGCGATTGGAGTCTAAAAATAAGCCGAAGATCGGCAGTTCGCGCCTAAGCGCGTGATCGCACGCCGCCCTGAACACCATCACGATAGCGATAAGCACCATCAGATACCGGCTCAAAGGTACCAGCAGAGCATTCCGGATAGCTCAGCACCGACACGGCTTGAGGCATCCGGCTTCCCCAGCCTCGTGGTCTCGAGGCTGCAGGCGCTTGTATACTGTGCCGCAATGTCATCCTCCGCACTTTGCCTCATGAGGGGGCGAAAAGCTAACAATACGAACAGCTGCATATGATGCCTTTCTTCCGGCGGCTATATTGCACACTAGGCTGGCCAGCTGGTCAGACAGCGGCTATACCCCATCTCTGTACGGCTTGACCCTCACCGGTGACCCAGACCAACAGCGGCTGACATCTGCACCGTACGCAAGCTTGCAGGGCCAACACTCAGTCGCCTCTCTTGGTACCGTTCGTCATGTTTTGCTTGTGGCTGGGAGTACCGGTTGCGCTTAAGCCGAAAGGTGAATGGTCGAAGGTGTTAGCCATGCACCACATTTAGAGAACGAGGCACAGTTAGTGTAGATGCCTCCAGTCAGGGTTGATCTTGGAGTTTCATGCAGCTTCAATGCATGAATTGAGTCTAGAGGCTTAAAGTAAAGCCTGCATGATAACAATGTGCTCTAGGTACACAGGTATAGTCGGACCGCATCTTTTCAGCTCAACTACCAACTCAAACTCTTATCACTGCGAGACAATTATCCTTCGGTGTCTCTTTCTGTAGCTGTCATACTGTGCTTTACACTCGTTACCATGCCTTATCCCATTACGACACTGGGGCAGGCCTCGACCACAACGCAGCAAGCACAAAATGGCAAGAAATGGCCAGCTTTCCCGGGTATTCCCATTTTCCTCGAGACACACGATGAGCGTGCTACTATGAAATCATACGGTACCACCCCGACAACACCGACCACTCCGGAGATCTTTGTTTGGAACCCCGCTCTCATCTCCAGTCAAATCAACCTGGGTGCACCAGATGCAATGTCCATTCAACACAGTCCTACTATAACAATTCAGACATCAAGTGCTGGCTCATCTGTGTGGCCAATATCAGAGTCAACACCAGAGGTGCGGCAACCGCAAGAGCCTTCCCGGCCAGCTGTTCGCTTCGTCCCTACGCAGCGACCTAGAGTTCAGCTTGGTGCTGTACCCACACTGCAGATCCCCCAGATTTCGCACATTCCATACGTCGATGAGAAGATACCGATCAGTCTTTACCATCCCGGACTTGGTATCATGAACAGTGGCGATAAGCCACCCTCCGTTGAGATTACACCGCCAGTCGACGAGAAGGCTGAAGACGACACACCCAACCTTGCCGAACGTATCGAACAACGCTTGTTTCAATACAGTATATCAGGCAATATCGTCAAGCGATGGCTCCTAGAGCTTCTGAGCTGGATCTTCAGCGCTTTATGCATGGGTGCCATCATTGGTGTACTCATCAACCTCCAAGATGATAAACTATCCAATTGGACTCTTGATAAACGGACTGGTTTGACACTCAACGCCTACATCTCGGTATTATCGAAGATGGCAGGTGCCTCCCTGATAATCCCTGTCTCAGAAGCTCTCGGTCAGCTGAAGTGGAGCTGGTTTTTGCAACACTCGAAGCAGATGTGGGACTTCGAAATTTTTGACAACGCGTCTCGAGGCCCATGGGGCTCATTCCTACTACTCATACGAACCAAGGGCAAGGCCCTCGCAGCGCTTGGAGCCATGATCACCTTAGGTCTTATGACTTTAGACCCTTTCTTCCAGCAAGTTGTTGACTTCCCAGATCGTTGGGCGCTGCAAGACGCACCAGCAAACGTCCCTCGCGTTCAGCGCTTCGAAGGCAACAGTATTCCGGTATATACCGAGGATGCACCCTGGGCAAGCCCAGACCGTGACATTAACCAAGTTGCTTCTGAGTTCTTCTACGGCAATGGGACACAGCCCATCCCATTTGGGAATGGCACTCGACCTGATATTCCACTCGTAAGCCTACCTTCCTTCCTGTCGCAGCCAAAAAGAAGGCAAAATGTACATACATTAGTACCCTAAAGTAGGCCTGCTAAGTAGGCCTATCCTGCCCGCGACACTTCCTGCTAAAGCGCAATCATTTAGTATTGCAGTAGCTAACTACTACTGCACACAGTCTTGCCCCACTAGCAACTGTACATGGCCAGCCTACGACACCCTCGGAGTGTGCAGTGAATGCGCAGACATTTCGAGCTACCTCACCTACGCTTGCGTTAATGCGACTGTAGACTGGACATCTGATCTGACTGGTGGGTACAATATTGATGGGTCATATCCAAACGCAACGATGTGTGGATATTTCCTTAGCTTCACCGAAGAGCGTACTACGATGATGTCCGGCTACCTTTTCGAGCCCAATTCCTCCACACCCGGGGAAGCGCTAATCGCTCGGACGATGCCAATGGTAACAGTGTTCGACAAGATACCGGTATTTGGCAACGGGTCCGTCATGTTCCCACACGTGCGCGATCCAATTGCAGATGTCTTGATAGTTTCTGCTGCAGATGGAACAGCAGATTCGGTATACAGACATGAACCGCCAGTCGCGCAGGAGTGTGTCATCTCATGGTGTGTCAAGACTATCAAATCATCGTATGATTGGGGCAAGTACAGCGAGACTGTACTGAACACACGCATAAACATAACTGAGGGACCATTCCCCTGGCAGACGACCGCGATCGATCCGAATGTAGAGGCGACAAATGGCACTCAGATCTTCTTTGCAGATGATATCCACATCCAGGTCGAGTATCCGGACACTGTCAATGGAACTCTCAGTTACGGAACTTCAAATGACACAGCCTATTCTGTGATGATGGTTTTCGATGACATGTTCCCATCCTTTTATACGGCGAAGGACGCATCCGCAGAACCAATCCTTAGATTCTGGACCTGGAAGGATGGTCCCGCTTATACCCAGCAGCCCAAATACAATCCGTGGCTGGCACCGAACAATGTCACATCGCACGTTGAACGTCTGGGCATAGCACTGACCAATGTTATCCGCTCGAAGACCGACAAGAAATGGCTGGAAGGAAACGCTTACAGCATGGAAAACTTCGTGGCCGTGCGTTGGGAGTGGCTTACTTTGCCTTTGGGGCTTCTTATGATGAGCTTGATTTTTCTTGCGGCAACAATATTCAAGTCGGCCCACGAGAGAGAAAAGGTTGGCGTGCTAAAGAATTCCGCTATCCTTACCTTACTTCACGGTATTCCTGACGACATGAGAGGCAAGTTGACTCGGTCTACAAGCACTGGTACACCGAGGGCTAAAGCGAAAGAGTTGAAGGTTAGGCTACATCCGAACCTGGGTTGGCGGATTTCTGGAAATGTCTTCTCACCGCTTACCTCCCGACTACCGCGAAACCAACCCCCTCCGGGATGGATATGAAGAAACCTCAAGAACCAGATGGACGATGAATTATCAACTACGTACTGTGTCAAAAGAATTTTGTGTGCACATGGCACATATCCTGAATGAAAGGTCCTATCCGTACTATTCGTCTTCACGCCGCTGTAAAGGCGACAGTAGCATTTCCTCTACACCGTCTTCAGAATAACGAAGGACGCCAATGACTGTCGCTTAGTCCCATGAATTTGAGCAAGGGAAGCCCCGCTTTTGTTCTTCACTGGCCGCGATCATTGCGATCATTACGTTCACCAAGCGATTCGGCTTCAGCTGCAGTCTCAGCGTCCCGCTTACCGCGACCACCACGGTTAACACGAGTGTCGAGAACTACCTTTGCATCCGCATCTCGTCGGCCACGGCCTCCTCGGTTTACGCGTCGTGATAGCGCTTCGGCGCTGCTCTCGGCTTCCGCATCTCGCCGGCCGCGACCACCACGGTTGACACGGGCATCCAACGAAACATTATCGGGTTCAGCATCTCGGCGGCCACGTCCTCCACGGTTGATTCGCTTGGCGAATGAGATAGCAGTATCTGCTATGCCGATTGGCTGGGTGGTACCGCGAATGGCCTTCTTGTCCTCCACGAGGCCGATGAGTGGCTCGACATGACGTCTACTGAACGACAAAGTATCCCTCAACCCATTCTGGTCTAGTGTAAGTGGAAGAAGACAAGTCGACCATAAAGATGGCGGAGCATACTTCAGTTCTTGGGAGTGGAAACGCAAAGATTGAAAGAGCAAGGGATAGAACGATGGCGACCAGGCGGGAGTGCATAGTTCTAATGATTATGAAATCTGCTACGGTATGGTTTGACAAGAGCAAAGGATGAGTAGATATCTTAGTGTCGATCGGCTCTGCTTCAGTCACTTGTGTGGGCCAGTCGATCACTTTATCTGAAGACGAGACTCACCGGCACTGACCAAACTGGATACGCTGGAAGACGGACTCATCTCCACTACACATCCACAGCGCTTCTGTCCATGCGAGATTGTCACCTTCACAGCCGCCCCCAAAGAAGCCACCGACGCGACCTGGGTCAGCACAATTGTGCGGAGATGCAGCATATGCACGATCATTGGAAGGGTTGACAGAAAGCATAATCGTATGCGGCAAGCTAAAACCCTGGGATGGTACAGAGCAGAACACAAGGCGTTAGGCACACCTCCAAGGGGGGTCTCGAATGTATGCAATGGAGTGGGATAGCTTCGCAAAGTTTGGTCACAGCGAGCGATCACATTCACAAGCGCCTTCTAGGCTCGTCGCAAGTCATCACTGTAAGTGACGAAATCCTCCATGCTTGTTCTCCTCCTGTAATTTCTTCACAGCTTCATGTCTGGCAGAGCAGTCGCTAACCAATCAGAGCCATTGATCAGTAAGAAGCACCTTGGCGTCGTTTTGACAGGCCCGCTGGTGACGAAGCGATTGGTTGCGAGTGCGCGAATGCTTGCGCCAATCAGCCTCTGCCGCGACCCAAGTCACACAGTTATCATACACGTGACACTCGGCGGTTACTGCAATCACAGCCTGAACTCAATGGCGTTCGATATACTCAATCTTTCAAAAGATTAAGAGTTAACGTAGGATACGGATAATTTGTCAATTGTTGCCATGTCCTGGTCATCGAATCGGCGTTCCCCAGCGCTAATCCGAAATTCGCCATGCGCAACATCGACATGGATTTCACGTTGCAGATGGCTTGATTTGTTTTGTTCAGATCACTCCTCTGGATGGTAGTTCGTAGCTGCACTACACTTGGGTCTGTATTTGCATCAATTGGTTCCCCTGGGCCTTACGACACGTAGCGCAGTCATTTTTACCAGCGCGCACGGTGTGATAATCTGAATCCACCCGTTCCGTCGCGTCGTTACCAGTAACTGAAGCTACATTGCTCATGTAGATGTAATCAACGTAGAACCTACGCAAGTGCATGAAGAGGTACACTCTCACCTTTGCCACACTCCGCGTAACAGTAGCACATCTTCTTGTCTGTTTTAATGACCCGATGGCTAGCCGAAGGAGGTGTTAGCGCTACCCCACATTCAAGATGCGTGCCTCCCTCCAAAGGCTTCGCGGCGCGTTTTAAGATCCACATCACATCGAGGAAAGGACGTCACAATGACCACAAAACACCACTGGCTGTAACCGCTGAGCAGCCGTGTCGCAGCGCGTCCGAGTCTTTCCACATCCACGGATCGTGAATTCGAAGCTGGAACGTGCAAGCGAGGCGCCCCGGCGCTTGACAGTCAAGTGCGAAAGGCTGTCCCTACATACAGCTGCAGCATCCTCAGCACCCGACCTGGAAAGAGGAACTCCCCACTATCCCTATCGTTGAGGCTGTTGCTATCGCTGCGCATGGAAATAATGTCGATCCTGACAGCACCTTCTCGCTTGCTGACAATGCAGTAACCCAAGCTTAGCGCGTAACGAATGTCCTTGACAGGTTTGACTCATAATCCTCGCCAACTCTCCAGACTCCAAGCTGCAGCACTGGGCTGGCAACCCGACGTCACAGAGCCTTTTGACACTGGGATTGCGAACTACTACTGTGTAATCTCAGTTGCTCCGTACTTAGCCTCCTAGGGGTATTAGACAGCTGAATAGGACATAGTACCGCGGAAGCGAATGGAAAGAAACTTCAACTTTGAGATATCCGACAAGGCGTCACCAGGCGCATATGGATCCTTTCTCCTCCTGTTCCGCACGAAGGGTTGCTCGCTTGCCGCGTTCGGCGCAATCATGACACTCCTTCTGCTCACAACCGATACCTTTTTCAAGCAGGTGACAGACTAACCTGACCAATGGGTGCTAGAGCCTGTCAACGGTACGATAGCCTCTGTCGTCCGTTGCATACCTGCACATATGCCTGACTTTTTTCTGGGCTGGGAGGAATTACAGTACGACACCAACACAATGACAACTGTGCAAAGGCTCCTTTACGGCAACGGTACACGCTGAGGCAGTCTGATAATGCGACAAGACCTGATGTTCCCCATTCGTGTCCAGCAAGTAACTGCACTTGGCCAGAGTACGATAAGCTCGCTGTGTGTGGGCAGTGCATTCAATTGGATACATCTGATCTGTTGACGTATGCTTGTCTGAACACGATCATCGATTAGAGTGCCCATTCAACTGGCCCAACGAATGATGTCCTCACTGGGTAAGTCTGTGGTAACTTCCCCAACGCTACAAGCGACGCGCCTACACTCATGTCAGACTACATCGCGAAGTACGACACCAAGTCAGGCTCGGCGCCGGGAGGGGTATTGCTGGTACGTACCCTGTCGCTGACAGAACTATACACGAAGAAGAATCTATGGGTTGACACGATCCACTTCAAAAACTTTCGCAAAACATTGCTCGACGCTGTATTCGTATCCGTGTCCAACAGTTCTCAGAGCGTGTGTTCCACGGCAGAGCCTGTTGTACACTAATGCGCTCTTTCTTGGTACTTCAAGTCGATCAGGTCAAGTTATGCTTGAGGCAGTCACCACGTAGAAGAGATTGCTGTTGTGCAGAACAAGACTCCTGGCCGCAGCAATGGCAATATTCGACGATTTCTTTCCCCCTTACTACATAGTCGACAACGTTTCAGCAGTTCCAGTGCTGCGTTATAAAAATTACATTGACGACCCAAGAATTCGCACACTCGAATTCAATGCGTGGTTATCGCCGAAAAACATCATTACTCATATATCTAGAATGGCCACAGTTGTGATGAATGCCATGCGCTCGAATCTAGAGAGTACAACCATGGTACCCGGGCTGGCGTACAAGAAAGAGCAATTTGTGCTAGTGTGCTGGGAGTGGCTTACATTTCCACTGGCACTGCTTGTGCTCAGCCTCAGGCATTTAATTGCCACGATCATCAGCATATGGAGGAACGAAGAGAATGAGGTTGAGTTTGGATTTTGAGGACCTTGGACTTCATTGGCCACCGCAGCGAAGGACTGGCCAAGGTTCAACGTGCAGTCGATCGCGTATCGGTACCGTACCGTAGCCGCCCAGTTGCTGCGCCGCAGCGCTAACACTAACAACTTCAACGATAACGTAGCGCTGTACTCCACAAGCCTTTTAGACAAGACTGCAAGCCGAAGGATTGGTTTCAAGTGAAAGCTTAATGCAGACTGATGATGTCCCTGCTACAGAGGAACACGTTATCCGACCGGGGTTATTCTATTGTTACTTGTGTCCGACAGAGGCCCCACTACCGGTAAACTTATGTTTCACAGCCTTTGCTGTTCAGAACCAACCAAAATTTTACAACCTCGTTCTGAAACGCAACAGAAAATGTCTATCACCCACTGTCTAGTCATACATAATTCAGTACATTCAGACGAGAACGCTTCGACAGCCAAGTCATATTAGTCTTTATCCAACGCATCGAGCGCAAGCTCGCCGAATACAATGCCTCGGAAAACATATGAGAGAGGTGGATATTTGAGATTGGGTGCTGCGTAATCAGTGCCACCTGTCTCGGGGCCATCATCGGGATTTATGTCCACATCAACAACCAGCGGCTTGAGGACCTGGACAAGCTACTCGCGTTCGCTAACATGCTTGGCTAATTCGCATCAGCAACTCTGATTGTTCCTTAGAAAGAAGCATTGGGGCAGCTCAAATGAAATTGGTTTAACGGCACATGTAAAGCTGTGTGGGATTTCGAGATCTTTTACAAAGCGACTCAAGGCCCTAGGGTGCTGCAATCTTGCTGTTCAGAACACGAGAGCGGTTTTTGGCAGCTTTAAGGGCGCTCCTCATTGTTCTGCTGCTCGCCATCGATACCTTCCTGCAACGAGTCATCACTCTGCGATGCTCATGGCGAGGTTCCACGAACGGTTCAGTATATGGCAGACTTCGGCCAAATCACCAGCGAAGGGTTCCTACTCGCAGTGGAGAATATAGATACTGGGCCTCTCGCAAGGAAATATGCATACGGTAATGGTACTCCGCCCATACGATTTAGCAGTGAGATAAGACCTGACATCCCGTTAGTAAGCACATCTTTCCGCTACTCAGCATTCGCTCCAGAATCGAGACTTTAATCAGATCTCCTCGCAGTCATGCCCGACGAACAATTGCACATGGCCCGTATACGAGACTCTGGCTGTGTGCAGCGAGTGTATATACATCTCTGACATGCTGACGTACGGCTGCACTGACGGACGTTTGGATTAGGACTCGGATCCACCTGGTAGCGAGTTTAGGATCGAGCTTCTTCGCCTTCGACAACAATGTTTCCGCGCCCACTGAAGCTATATCATGACGACCATGCCTAGGCTTTCTATTTATGAACGCGAACCATTGTTCGGCAACGGGACGATCAACTTTCCACAACATCGCAACCCCATTACCGATGTGATCATTTTGTCTTCCGGAGACGGCACAGTTGAGTCTGTGTACAGGAAGGAGCCTCCAGTTGCTCATGAGTGTATCTTAGCATGGTGTGTTCGGACCATCAGATCTACCTACGACGAAGGAGCTTATCACGTGGAAATTCTGGCCACACACATCAATACCACGACAGCAGATAGCCTCATGGTGACCTTCGAAACCCTGTCTGAATACCAGAACGCCACCGACATTACCTACACCGAGAACGTTACTGTTAATGTGAAAGATTCCCCAAATGGCAGAATTACAAGCTCTGGGATAGCCAACGACACGGTCTACGCTCACATGATGCCGTTCGATGATACATTTCCCGCGTTTTAAACTGTGAAGCCAAACGAGACAGAACCGATACTTCGCTATCAGACACGGCGCCAGGGTCCAGCTTACAACCGCCCACTCGACTTCCCTCCCTGGCTCGCTCCAAACAACATAACAAGGCATATGAAACGACTCGCCACAGCAATGACAGACGTGTATCGTTCAGTCGGCTTGACCAACGAAATCGTCATTATTTCTGCCTATGCGCACGAGGTCTATATCCACATGCAATGGGAGTGGCTCATTTTGCCTCTCGTTCTCCTGGTCCTCAGCCTAATCTTTTCAATTGCAACGACTACGAAGACTTCCAATGGGGCGACGGGTATTTGGAAGACTTCCGTGATGCCGACACACATCTATGGGTTGCCAAGGGAGGCACAGACTCAACTCAACTCCTCGGCACACTAGAATGATAACAGTCTGCCGACGAGGAAGTTGCGATTCAAGTTGTCGCCGAAGATGGGATGGCGAGTGTCGGGACAGAGTTTGTTGAACAGGTCGCCAGTGCTGCCGCTGCAGAGGAACCAACTACCTCCGGGATGGATGTGAAGGATTGAAATGTTTTCAGTTGTCGAGTAGCAATGAACCCCACACATTGAACAGACCTCTCTCTTACATTAGTGCCTCTTCCCGTGAAGAGCTCTATATTAGATCTGGAATCGCGTAGGCATGCAGCGAAGAGGTCTATAACCGCGTACAGTAGGCGTAGCTCACGTTCCCTATCACGCTTCTCGTGCTAAGTCCGGTCTTCCTCGTCGCAATGATTATGAAGACATAAAACGATACCAACGGGAGCGGGATGTGCAAGGCGTCGGCTATGACGACACTCATCTATGGGTTGCCACAGGAGACCTGGGATAAACTTGCGCCTTCGACGTGGAACAAAGCACGAGATGAAACCAAGAAGCTGCGTGTCAAACTTTCACAGAAGATTAGTTGGAGAGTATCTGAGCAGAGTCTCCATCAGACTTTGTCGGTACTGCCCGTGCGAAGAAATGCAGCACCGCCTGGTAGGATTTGAGTTTTCCTGTACAAGGCTGTGAACGCATGTAATGTTCCTGATGAACACTGCCATTATGACTTCCTGCTCAGCTGCGATCATGTAAAATATCCTGATACTGATCTTGCCCAAGCCAGAACGGAATGTCAAAGCCAATGTATGGGTCCATACCGTCTCCTGGAGGTAGTGGGATGCTTGGATCAAGGTTCTCGCTAGCCTGGAGAAAGTCGCTCCATTCCAGATTGCCAAAGTCAAACACCGGGTTGTTGATATTCTGGTAATACATGGCTGGGGCAACGTTGAGGGCCTGTAGATTGTCTGACATTGGTGATACGTTGGTGGCTTGACCCAAGTTACCGCCAGGACCGATAGTTTCGTCCACGGCCGACGGGGTAGAATATGAGTTCGTCATACGGATACCTTGCGGTAGCCCTGTACTGATAGTCGTATGGCCAGGCTCGGCAGCAGATTCAGTGGCTTCTGGGATGATTCCACTAGAGCTTATGTAGTGTCGTGGCATGGAGGGTTCATCGAGCGCTTGTTTTGTCCGTATATCTACCTCACTTGACGGGTTGTTCGCTTCTGAGTCTCTCTTGGGACGCCTTGTTATGCGATCGCGCAACTCACGTACTGCAGTGGCACTAGCTTCTGGCCATATGCTGCCTCGTCGAGACAGGTGGTGTAGAACGTCCAAGGCTTTGTCGGCGAGCCTGCAATGACTGTCAATTGCGTGCACAGAATCTTTGTCCACTCTAATTACCGTGATACAATGCCGTCAGATATATGATGACTGCTGGCGGCATGGAATAAGATGAAAGTACTAATCCAGATAGCCCAGGTGCAAGAGGGCCAGAGAAGGGCCAGAGTATCTGTTCCTGCATCGCTTCCGTTACCTGGCCGGATTGCCCTGTGCAAAGTCGTAATGATGGCTCTTGCTGAACCTATACATTGCTGCAAAGCTGCATCGTATGCGTGACCATGGCGAGACGCGGCGAGCGTTGGACGGTGGAGAGAGATGATGGACTCATGCCTCAGTACTGTCAGAATTGTACGATGATAAGCCGAGGCACTCTGATCGTCGTCCGTATCGTGGAAGTCTTCCACATCATTCCACCACTGAGCAAGTCTGGCTGTTATAGCGGTCGCCTTGTCAGGGTCCTTTTCGACATAATGAAGCGATTTGTTCCGCAGCTCTATGATCTGGCCACGTATGGTGTACTGTCGCGCGACAAGACTGATCAATCGTAGTCTTTCGTCTGTCACTGCATCAGAATTGTTAAGGTGTATGTATCAAATCACTCACCCACGGGATGCTGAATGCCAGGATGGCGCTCAGCAGTCGGGTAGCAAACATCAACGTCATCGTCATGAAGGCTCAGCGGCAGACCCATGGACTGACAAACGAAGCGATCGATTTCGTAGAGAGACCAGAAGATGCGTTGGCGGTGCTCCTTCTCGCCCAACGAGAAAGATGGAAATCGAGCTGAACATCGATGGAGACCAAGCTGGAGGGCCATTCGAATCACCACGCCACCAAGACGACTGGCAGCGTTGAGACGAAGCATGGACACCAGGAAGAGTTGAACGCTGATCGCCGCCTGCAAAGACAGCAGGGTAGTGGCGCGTGTTAAAGCATGTTGTAGACAGTCTACCGCATCATCGTAAGACTGGAAGACAAGCTCAGCGGGATATTGTGCCGCATCAAGCGCTTGCGATTGCCGACGGTCTGCGAGTGATATAGACATGATGGATCGCAAGATAGTCATTCGAGAGTTAGAGGTGCCTTCCTCGGCTTGCTCGTTCAATTGGGGGACTGTTTCGAGGTACTCAAGTACGCTTGGAGCATGTAGGTAAGGGTAGATTGGATGCCAATTGGCGAAGTAGCTTCCGCTCCATTCGACAAGCTCTTGAAACGTGACACTAGACAGAGGCCTCGATATAGTCTCTTCATCCCTCCAGATTCGACCGAGGGCGTTTGGGGTTGATGAAGGGAGATGGTCATCTTCGCCTGGGACGTGATCGCTTTCGGGTGTCTCTAATATTCGTGTCGATGCTGAAGGATGAGTGCCACGAATTGCGCCGTAGACGGAACGAATGAAGTAGATGCCACTGGCGCTACCAACAAAGCTTGATAATCTGTCTCTAGGAACACTGCGCATTAAGCCTACCTCCCGAGGTGGGTGCATTGATACGCGTTGCTTTTTAGAAGGTCTCTCGCCGTCCAAGGATGGACCTGGGCTATTTTGTGCGTCTCCATGTTCCATGGTGATGTATGAAGAAAGTCGGACATCGCGGAGGTGCGGGTTCGCGTGTTCAACCCTGCTGAGAATTAACTTTACCTAAGCCCCGATCTCGCGAAGCGCGTTACCCAACGCGGCACAGCCGAAGGCTCCGTACCAGAGCATGTCTCTCGCTCATCAAACTTTGGATTGAAAAGTATGTCCGCAGCTGATGCTGTGCACTTGCAGAGTTTAAACGCATGAATCGTAGCTGATAAGTTGTGACGTCATGATCATTGTTCAGAAGTAATTATGCCAGCTGGTTGATTTGAAGGGCAATGCTGATGTGTTCGGTGCCTGAGGTGGTTCGATGCCATGGAGCTGCTCAGTGACGGTCTTCGACAGGGTCGATGAGGCAGACTCGAGGTACACAGACGAGTGAACGTTGTCAGAAGCAGGCGTGTGCGGTAGCGGCAGAGCTATTCGCGGATTGCCTGCCGAATTTGAGTCAACTGTTTGAAGTGACCGAACACCTGGGAAGGGTATTTGTGGCAGCTCTGAGTTAGGAGGCACTGCTTGCTGCTGCTTCTCATGGAACCAGGTGGCGAGCTGCTCAGGCGTCTGAAGTGGAAGTCGCTTCCAGTCATCTTGCCTCTCGGTCTTTGAGAGCTCTCGTGGTGGTTTTAAAAGGCCAAAATTACTGGCTTTGATGTCTTGCTCATTGTGCGCAAGCAGGGTTGCATAGAGGGCAGACTCAGTCTCTCGTAGGCGTCGTTCAAGACTATTGATGTAGGCAATTGGAAGCCCTCGCCTCCCGCCCTCTTGATAACGGCATATAAACGAGGAAGCGCGACATTGTGAGCATGAAGGTCTGCAGCACATCAGCGACTTGTGGCTCGAGCACCCTAGATAAATCGTACACGCGCCGGTCACATCTGCATTTCTTTGACCGACAATTGTCGCATGCGATGGGATTGAGCGCCTTGGCTGTTAGCAGAACCCAACGTGTCTTGCCAATTTTTACTTACCATGCAAGTTGTGTGACACGTATCGTGCAAGGAGATGGTTTGTCGATGTGTTCGAAATTTCCTGCCACACGGATTGGCCGCTCCTGCATGTCTGGACGCTACACAATCCCTTCTCCCTTCGCATTGCCCTTTACAATTCTTCTGATCAGCTCCGTACAACTCACGATGACGATTCGACGAGGCCAAAAACGTGTGGATGCTCCAGTTGCGCGAGGTTGGGCGCTCGGGGAAAGAATGTGCGACGCGCTTCTGCGCATTTGAGGCGGTCTTTCTTTTCCCGGCCGCTCCCCGCAACGCCTCAGTAGCCGATCAGCGACGGGAGGCGATGTCTAAGAGCCTGCACATTAAGAATACCTTCATGAGTACAAGATAGCCGCTTTCTGACCGCTTCCGTACTCTTCAAGATCGTTATCAATTACTCCGTTGACACACATCCGCCACAATGTCTCCAATCGCCAACCAGAGGAAGCACTCCATCGCGACTATGGGCGCCGATGGCATCGGACCCGAAGTCGTCAATGCCGCAGTCCAAGTCCTGAAGAAGCTCACAGCACTGGACGGCTCATTCGAGCTTGAGTTCAAGGATTACGACTGGAGCTCAGAGACCTACAAGAAAACTGGAAAGTACATCCCAGACGACGGTCTCGACGAGTTGAAGAAGCATGACGCCATCCTCTTTGGTGCTGTCGGCGCACCAGATGTCCCTGATCACATCTCCTTATGGGGTCTGCGACTGGCAATTTGCCAGCCATTCCAACAGTACGCCAATGTTCGCCCGACCAGAATTTTCCGTGGTACACAGTCGCCTCTCAGGAACGCCTCGCATGGTGACCTCGATTGGGTTATCGTGCGCGAAAACTCAGAGGGCGAGTATGCTGGTCAGGGAGGTCGTTCGCACAGGGGTCAGCCATGGGAGATAGCCACAGAAGTCTCCATCTTCACAAGACACGCGGTCGAGCGATTGATTCGATTCGCTTTTGAGCTGGCACAGAAGAGGGAGAGGAAGTTCTTGACAGTCGTTACCAAGTCGAATGCACAGAGGAATGGAATGGTCATGTGGGATGAGGTCGCCTTGGAGGTATCGAAAGACTTTCTAGATGTCAAGTGGGACAAGATGCTCGTCGATGCCATGACATGCCGCATGGTGCTAGATCCCAAGTCGCTCGACACCATCGTCGCTACCAACCTTGTAAGTCAACCCAATGACTGGTCACACTGATCAAACAACTGACTCGGACAGCACGCCGACATTCTCTCCGACCTTGCAGCTGCCCTGGCTGGTTCTATCGGCATTGCACCTACCAGCAACCTGGACCCTACCCGCAAGAACCCCTCCATGTTCGAGCCCATTCACGGCTCAGCGTTCGATATCACTGGCAAAGGCGTTGCCAACCCAGTAGCCACATTCTGGACAGCCTCAGAGATGCTGACATGGCTGGGCGAGGAGGATGCTGCAAACAAGATGATGAAAGCCGTCGAGAACGTCACCGAACGTGGCATCGTCACAAAGGATCTCGGTGGTAGCTCAAATACTAAGGAGGTCACCGATGCTGTATGCTCAGAGCTCGAGAAGATATTTGGTAAGGGAAAGTAGACGCAACCATGATTGGTACTCTTCTTCGACTATACCTCAATGCATTACATAGACGTGTCTCTCAAACATATTCTGGTACGTTCTGTGTGTGTTGAATGTATTGAAATTTTCCTCCACATGAGCTTGCATACCTCCAAACTACCATCTTCGCGACCTCCATTCCGCAGTCTGCGAATCGTGATTCCCAGCACGCACCCATTTACTTCGAGGAAACACAAATCAAGACGAAACTGGGCATGGGCTGAACCAAACGTAGTGATCTTGTGGCTGGGACAGTTTATTTTCAGGCCAAGCTGCAGGCATTCAATGCGATCTTGATGATGCCGAGGAGCAGGATGGGCACGAGCAAGGAGTGAGTGCAGGGGATGGTGTTGTCCGACTGTCCGGAGGATGAGTAAGGCACGAGACGCGACCCATATTTGTGTTCATGAATGTCCATCGTCATAAAGTAGTATCCTTGCGCCTGCCCTTGCGAGTCCCTAGAGATACCCAACACGTGCATCTCTCTATAACGCTGTCCTATCAGCCATGAAGTGCCAAAAATTGTGTATACGCCAAATAACTGGGCTATCGTCCATCCTTTTACGCCTGATCTCAGGAGCTTCGCGATGGTCGAAGAGCGTCAACAAGAAAGCAGTGTTGGTACATCGCGATGTGAAAACACGAGTCTGAATGAAGCAAAAAATATGACACTATCTTCCCAAAGTAGCTTGATCAGTAGTCTCGAAGGCTGACCGGCGGACGGCTACCGGCGGTGTCTCATGGAACGGCTGGCGGTATCGACTTCCCACTGCGCAAAACAGTCGATATTATGCCGTGCAGTATGAACATTGCCCATCAGCTTCTCGTCAATCTGCAGCTTCATACTCTCGACCTCCAGATGCTCCACAAGCGTGAAGTCATGCCCCTTCGGCTTCTGGAGTAAAGGATGAGACTCGCATTCAGCACAGTCGGAGTGATGACCACCGGGGAAGCATTCGATGCAGTACTCCATGGCAGGAGGATTCAGGTGATCGTGAACGCAGTGCGAGGAGAGTATCCTGTACTCGATCTGCAGCAAGCGCTGTGAGAGGCAAAAGTCCGCCGAGAAGGAGGTGAGATGGTACGTCCCAGGCGCAGGCAGCGTGTTGTCTTGTGTGGGCTCAAACTACCGCTTGAGATCCTTCACAGAGTCACCGAGAAGTATCCAGAGGTTATTGGTTGGGACAGCATGCACATCGCAGACTTGCTCGATCCCTCGGCAACGCGGTGGTGTAGTGCGGCAGTGACTAGCTGCATACTCGTCTTCGTTGTCCTTGCGTTCATACTCATCATCAAGCGCGTCCAGACCAAGGAAATTGAGTTCGAATAAGGAGACGCAGGTCCTCCTAGTAGGGTAGTTATGCTCCTGCTCATCTCGGTACTCCAGCACCGCGTCCATGGCCTTACACCCGCAAGCGCAGGCGTAGTACTTGTGGGGGTTGGACAGCTTGCGCTGATCAATGCTTGCTACCCAGTCGACTACCGAATTGGTACCGTGCACCTTCTGGTACTCAGGACCGCCAGGAAGACAGAGTAGCAGATCACGCACTTCGGAGTCATTCTTGCCGAAGTTGTAATCGGCACAGCCTTCGTTGATCGCAACTATTTGTTGTCCCGTAAGACATGGCTGCAGACCAGACTGCTCCTGTACGCGTACCTTTCGGCTATTTAACACGTCCTCGATTGAAGTGTGGCCGCCACAGAACCCATGCTATAATGTCTCGAGGTGCTGGACCATGACGTTCAAGCCAGTCCGCTCCGAACGAGTGGCAACGATCTGATAACGAGCTTCTCCTTCTAGAATCTGTAAAGTCCCTGGAGGTAGACGTTTCTGAAGGAGGAAATGTAGCCATTCGACATCAGCTGTGTCACCGACAAGGGATCGGTCGTCAGACCAGCCGTCAGCGCTGTCGTTGGAGTCTAGTGAGTCAGGCAACTCCCCATCCGGAAGAAACATGACGCCTTAAAGACCAGCTTGCCACTTCGGATATCGTGCGTTGTGCAGAGGACCTTCGTTGAATTCAGAGATCCACTCCTTCCTAATAGCGGATGTTTGCTACTTCATCGCACGCTCCAACTTCAAATTCGCGTCTCGAAGCTCGATGAGAATATCGAAGCCGCCAAAGAACCGAGTCATACTGCGCAACGTGGCGTCTGAATGTTATTCATCGTAGACGTCGAAGATCGAAGACCTTCTCTTGAAAACATCGCAAATGTCTTCAGGCTTTACTGGAGCCCACTGGGTAGACACATCGAACCTATCGAAAAGCCTGTCCGGAGAGTGCAGTACAGCTTCTATTTGAGAGACTTTGTAAAGTACCGGTAGCCCTGACATGCCCCTGAGAACATCGTCAACGTCTTCGTACTCTGGCAGTGGTGACTGGACAAGTGTGACGTCGTTGGATTGCTTGTCCTTTGATAGATCGACTGATTCGGTAAGGCAGATGGGACGGTAGACGCTGGAAGTACCCGGAAGCTCGCTGTATCCACCGAAGATGAGGCAGAGCAGAATACCGGCGCTATATAAGGACAACCAATCGTTCAGTGCCGAGCATACAAGTGAGTAAATTGTGGCTGCGACAATGGGTGATCCAAGCCCACGCACACTCACTAAGCTGTCGTACCCGCCGAGAAGTAGATGGATCAGAGCTATGGAAAAGGAGTACCAGGTTTGATCCTGCGGGACCAGGTACAGGACCGAACGGATCCCCATCAGCTTGACGATCATGGACGTCATGAGGTGCAACCATAAAATGATAAGATGTTGCTGGGTACGTGCTCTAAGAGCCACCGCGCTGCAAAGGGGACACTTCGACCCTTCGGTGGCAGAGTCCGGAGTGGTGGCGACTGGCATCGAGGACTTGGAGGAGGTGGCGGCTGTAGCGACCGTCTGTGACGACTGTGAAGTAGGATTTGCTCCAGACCGGTCGCTAGAGAAGTTAGATACACGTCAGAACACTGGGACCGATTGGCACGCCATTGGGCGGAAGAAGTAGAAGCAGCGCCAGCCTGTGTCGGGCGCGCTGACGACTGATCGGCTACCGTCTCGCGCGGAATGAACTATATGAGGTGGCTGAAGGCTGTTGAAGGTGGTGGAGAAAGGGAAGAATGTATCTGGGGAAGTCAGTGAGCGGGTAGAGAAACTCGCGGGTGACAGTGAAGTACCGACGTATAAACACAAGTGAAGTGTGGTAATGTCCGTCCCTGCGTAACGGGACACCCTGCGTGGCGGGACGCCGCAGACACTCCCTAATACAACAAACGCAACAACGAGCTATAAGCATACAAACTCTCAGGATAGCAGACTTGAACTATAAAGTCTATCCCCTCTTAGAGTCTTTTAGAAATAGGTTCTGGTTACTGTACAATATAACAATTCAGCATGATAGTTATGCAACGGCCTTGCTTTGACTAGCAGTGGGTTCATTAATAGCTTATGCATCTTGCTAAACATCTAGCTACGACACAGCAACGCAAGACGCGACGACGGAGCCAGACACCCCTTTGAGCACAACGGTTACAACATACACAATAGTTACTGATGGGCTTCCTGGTTAGCCCATCGCTATTGGACAATGCCTGCAACGTCCCGCATCGACGAGCCCTCGCGCTGAACAGCATTACCTCTCGCACGAATTACCTCACAGACACCCAGCATGCTACTATTGGTGCTACAACATAACTACAGATCATCAGACAGCCTCGTCCACTGTCGCCCTACCTAGTGTCGAAGGAGTGGTGCACCTTCGACACGCCCGACAAGGTCTGAGGAGATTCACCCGGGAGCTCTCATGCTTAGTAGGCTCGACGGCACGCACGAGCGGAGCATCGCTCTTGTGGGGCTGCGTTACGACGAAATGCTGCTGCCGCAGCGCCTGGTGGCAGGTCACACCACAAAATACAGCCGCATAGGAACCTAGTGGACGGCATCACAACACTGAAGAATATTGGAGTTCGGAGAACACAATGCAGGCCCTGGGGCACGAGGGAAAGCTAGCACATACGATAGCTGAACGCTAGGGGGAGACTGAAGGTATTGCGGTCGCAAAGCATGAGGCAACCGTGCCTCTACGAGCCTTGAAACAACGCTACACATATGAGGCTTCGAGTACGGCGCACACACAGGAAGACAATTCAAGGAACACAAATACAGACAAATACGTCACTTCTAGAGATGAAATGTACATAGTCGTAGATAGAAGCCAGACGCAGCAGGCCTCTGGGGACAGATGGCTCTTTTGAGAGTGAAGTGGGGCGGTGCGGATCAAGGTCTGCACCGTGTCGGCTGTCTGCCACGCTTGTCAACCGGGCATAACGTGTTCTATCAGTAAGCTGGCCACATCAGTATCCTGGCCACCCCACTAAAACGCGCTTTACTTGCCGTGCAACTGCTCTACAACCACATGGTCAAATTAAGTGAGGTTTTGAAGCAAGATAGATTAGATAGCTCTACATTGAGTCCTATTGTGACCTTGCACGTGGCATCTGCTACACGTTGGTGGTGCTCGCTGACGTCGTGGGGCAGCGTCAACCTGAGCGTCCTCTTCAACCACATTATTAGCCTGTGAGACTAGTAACTGAGCTTCCTCAACCTGTAGAGCTCCCCCACGTGATATATACTGTCTACGATTTTGACGCTTATGTTGCTGGCGTTGATTTGAGGCACGTAGCTTTGTATTCTCTTGAGCTAGGATTGTTGCTGATTGCATAGCAAGCTGACAACCCTTAACAAGCTGAGAGATAGCTTGACTAGTTGGACTCTGTGATTGACGCCTAAGGAGATCTTGTACAAGGCGGGCCTGCTTCTGCAATTGATCAATGGTATGTGGTGTCTCAGCTGTCCAGGCTGCTTCTATACCAGTAGCTGTCCCCGGTGGAGATGGTGTTCTGACTACAGTAAGGCATGTCAGGACACGCTCTGGACTGAATGGGATAAGCCCTGTTGCTTGAAACCCAGCCTTAATGTTGCTCTCTGATAGGGCAGTCTGCCTGATCCTTAAGTATATCCATAGGAAGTCATGCTTGTCCACATGGAAGATACTTTGGCGGGCAAGCTCAGACACCTCATGTCCATACAACATCTTAAGAGGAGAATAGCAGCCAACGTCAAGTGGCTGGAGGAGGTGTGACGTGTGAGGAGGCATACAGAGAGTGATAATCAGGTTGTCTGCACAGTACTGATTAAACTCAGGTGTAGCGTGGCTGCTGTGACCGTCAAGAATGAGTAGCCGACGAGCACCTGATGAGAGAGTCTGTGTGTGCCTGGTAAAGTGCTTTACCCAGTCAAGGCCTAGCTCATCTGTTGTCCAGCCGTTGTTACTAACAGCAACAGTCCAGTTAAGTGGGAGATCTTGATACCAGCTGGCCTAGTGGAGCTTCCCTACTAGTATAAGGAAGGGTGGGATAGACCAACCTAACGCGTTGATACACTCAATTGTCGTCACCCACTCGCGATTGCCTGGCTGAACGACTGTAGCGCGACTAACTGTGTCAGAGCTGGTGACTACCTTTAATATTAAAGCCACCCCCATCATGAACCTATTCTCATCAAAGTTGTAGACGTCCTCATCAGGTATTCCATATGTGACGCGTGTCTCCTCTACCAGCCTGAACCACGCGCTAATCCTGACAGGATCTTCACAGCGTGCCCTCTGAGAGTGGAATTTCCTATTCCATTTTGTCTGAAGCTCTGGCTGGCGGTTGATGAAGCGTGACACCCAGCACTTGCCGATAGGTGGGGGAGGAGGATCTTGGCCGCGGCCAGCGAGTAGCGCGTCTGCCATACGTCGTACGTCAATGATCTAGGGTGGAAACCTGCGATGGTCAAGGTCTAAGATCTACTGAATAAGGGACTCCTCTTCAACAGGGCTAAGCTTTTAGTTAACATGCGTTGCCTTGTGTTTAGGGAGGATACCTTAAAGGCGCGTCTGAAGAGTTAATTGTAGGACATTGTAAGCCCTTGCAAGGGCACGGAGGGACTGAGAAGGTCTATTCTAAAAAGATACAATAGCAAGGTTTAATCTACCTTCTTAAGAAGGCTGTACAGGTTGTTAGTGTGGTATCATGGCTAATAGGATAAGACGCGTTGAGCGCGTTTTAGTGGGGTGGCCAGGATACTGATGTGGCCAGCTTACTGATAGAACACGTTAGCTGCGGACTTCGCGGCTGAAACTGTGTAGGAATCAACCAACCAACCAACCATTTCGGCAGGCAGTCCAAGCGAATGAATTCTAATACTGGACTCTTATAGACGAAGACTACTAATTAACTTACTAACAGCATTACTTGTATTTGTAGTAAAACACATTCATTGCATCCTTGACTTTCTACACAGCAAGAAGCGACAAAAGCATCAGCTTTGAAGAAGCGGGGAAGTGCTGCGAAAGCTAGCTCAATATCTGTGGATGAAACAGCACTTCATGGTCAAAATGGCGTTGAAGCAAGAACAGGGCGACCTATCATAACTTCAGTTGGCTAATTGACGAGACAATTCAAGACACGCCAGATGGGTCTTACCCGAAGCGACTGTTTTCGTCTCTCTTGCCTCCATCTAAATAACTATGCAGAAAGTAGAGATCCAATCAGCAAATGACACATACCCACACCTTGTCAGCTACGATGTTCCTAATCATTCAGCTCTCACCTATATAGTCTGTTAAAGTTAGGGATAGGCACGGTTGTCTTTGAGAGAGCACTCCCCTCTCCAGCGAAATCGCAGAATCTATCACCTTGGTCCCCTATTCGTCCAATCGGTCAAGATGACAAGCAGGCAAGGCGACTATGTCAAAAGATACAAAGACAATAGCAATGATAACACCGAGTGAATGGCTACTGTTACACTCACGCCATCGCCAGTTTGATCTATGGTCGCTAATAACGCTTATAGCAGGTGGCTTGGCCGTAGGCCCAGAGTGAACGCCATGATAAGGTCTTTGTTGCCGCTCCCCGGTAGCTTTTTCATGTAAGCCTCATTTCCAAACAGCTGCCGCTCTTCACGATCTTCTTCGGACTCTTCGTTTGCCAAATTTGCATCTGTATCCATAGGTATGGTCCATTGCGCAACGGCAACAACTTCACCTATCACTTGACTGCGCGCCAGGACGAAATTTGAGCTTACCTTTACCAACTGCACTGTGATGCGGGGTAACATTGTGGTCACCAGCTGATGTGGCTCGATTTTGCCAAACTGCAAACGCGTGAAAGGCGACAACCATGAAAGCGCGAAGAGTGAAGCAATCGCCTCGGCATCTGTCGGACGGGTTTGAGAAAACTCGAAAGTGGTTGCAAGTCTGACGTGCAGAACACGAGCTAGTTCAGTGGTCTCCAGAGCTCAGTGGGTCACTGTCGCTACTAGAGCCCGTCAGCACATCTGTTCTAGGAAGGTGCTCATAATGACTGGCAACGTTTTTATGCTTAGATATCGCCCAGCGCAAGGCTTGTTCAAGCCTGTTCTACGTATCGAACCACTCCAGCGCATCCCCGCGTCCGAATATCGCCCTGTACACTCTGTCGCCATTCTCCCTGATAGTCTCCTCGGTGTGTATGCTATGTAGGCTGTACTCGCGCTCGTCCGCGCTGCTGCCATCTGTACCATCCTTTGGCGAGCCAAATACGCGTACATGTATGTATCCGTTATCGACTGTTGGAACTCTAATCTTTCCGAAAAGGTGTAGGCCGTAGGCCGAGATCGCGACGCAGACAGACTCGAGGTCGCGGGCAGTGAATGAGGTCAAGTCGGAGTCGGCAACGTGTTTGACGGCGTGGAAATACTCTGGTTCGTGTCCTGCTGTTTGTCAGATGGGCAACGTGAAGACTTGGGTTGGCTTACTGTCATGATCGCGACGGAGCTTCACCAGCTCCCCCTTCACCGTTTCCAGGACGGAATCGATAGCATCGATAGATGCTTGATGCGGGGCGTGCTCCTCGCCAAGCTGTACGGTCTCTCTGGTGGCCATCGTAGCGTGAGCCGTGTTCCTGGATTTAGGCTGGCTGGGCGCTTCTACTTGTGCTGTGCTAAGCGCTCTCTGCACAGGTTAGACGCTCCTTAAGTATTTGAGACATTTCTTATGTGTGTGTACGATGTGCTGGGATCATACCATAGTATGCGCGGTCAAGGGGGTGTTTCAAGGCGAAGCTCGTGTCAGTCATGGTGTTGATCAGCGGTGAGCTTCGGGCACTTTAACACGCAGCGGTCGGTGTGACGACTCCCGCCGCCAAAAAAATCGTCCTGTTGCTGCGCGTTAGAAGCTTCATAACGTGCGCGTGTGCAGCCAGCTTCAGTGTTTGTGACAGCGAGATCGTACCTAGTGCGCCGCGCCAGCTTCGGTGCAACCAAGGGGGTGACGTCAGCGCGAGTTCCCAACTTCCCTCATGTTGAACAAGGGGGTCTGCAAATTCGCCTGAAACATCTAGACTCGAAGCGGGATATTGTAGAAGTGAAGTCTCAAGAGGGATAACAACCAGATCAGCCTCGAATGCCGCCGACACAGGGCAATGCGACCTCGGAGAGCCCTTCCACGAAAGGGCGCAGTCTAGTCAAGTACAGTCTTGACTCCTACTATGGATAGAAGGCTCTTTGTTCAGGTCTTTTGAGCATATTTGATGGATTCCAGGTACACGAACTGCCTTGCTGACCCTCAAGATCTTAAGATTGGCATGCCGGCTGCCTACTTACTCAAGCATCGAGTCCCGCTCAAGCCTGCACCTTTCTTCGACACCAACATGTTCCGCTCGATTACCTTTGTTGCAACCTTTGTCGTCAGCACCATTTGGGTCTTTACCTTGTACGTCCTACTATAGTACTTGCCACTGTTCACACAGTCCATTGGACTGAGCTCTGCAATTGGTGCAGGTTTGGTCGCAGCTTTCAACGCCTGCAACGCTATTGGACGCTTCTGCGCTGGGCCACTTTCCAACAAGGTCAGGCCGCTGAACATGTTTGTGATGGTGATGGTTGTCAACGCCATCATCATGCTGGGGATTTGGCACGTCTTGCGCACGCTCGCTCCTCTCGTGATATTTGCGATAGTCAATGGGGTCGCTAACGGCATCTCCGGACCTGGACGAGCGACAGTTGCAATGAGCATGTCAGTCATTGGATAGTCTGCAGGCTATCTGATGGATGTGTCAATCGCAGGTTACTTGCTTGAGGCCGTGGGTGGTAGCAAGCAAGGTAAAGGTGTTGGCCAGAGTATTGAGGTCTACCGACCTTCTATCCTCCACGCTAGTGGAGTGGCTACGCTCTCTGCTCTGTTCATCATCTTAGCAATATTGACAGTCACAAAGAAGGTCCTCAAGCGGGTGTAAGGTCTTCATGAGTTGAATCATATTATATTATCATCAACGCCCGAACAAATCTGCACTAGGACGTCAGCTCGCTGACATTTGTACATGGAATGATGATATGAGTCGCAACGCAGTAAAGAGAGGTCGAACAATTTGCGCCCCCTCCAATAGGCCGCATAATGACACTGAGGTCATTCTCATGTATGGAAGCCCCGCATGTCTCGCCAATTGTACCATGGCTGCAGCAATTTCGCATTGATACATTAAAGTCAAGTAACAGTACAGGGTATCAACACACATAGTAACCCAAATTACCGCCCCGAAGTGACCAATGATACCAAAACAGAAAGTAAACAACATGCAACAGATTAACAAGGCATCAAGCCTGTTCTACCACGCCGCATTCAGCCTCTTTGCTGTCGTCGCTGTCAGACTCATCAGTTTCCATCTCATTAGTCTCCTCTTCTTCATCCTCGTTCATGTCCTCGACCTCAATTTCTTCTTCCTCTTCTCCAGCTTCTGCGTCGCCGACGTACCGGTATTCGACGTCGTATCCCTGCTGCCGCCACAGTTCCATTGCGAGCTCACGAATCAATGATCTTGTCCAATCGCTCATCAAAGCCACTCTAATCTGACCCGCAGTTTCCGAGTCGCCGCAGAATTGCTCGATGTAGTCGGCGAATTCAAGGCGCATTGCGCGGGTCGGGAAGCGCAAGAAGAGCTCTATGTGTCGTTGTGGAAAGAGCTCTTGGTTGCACTCGGGGCAGCGGTTGGACTTGGAGGTTGTGAACCACACCTCGATGCAGGTGCGACCGAAAGTGTGGTTGCACGGCGAGATGCGGACCGCCTGTTCTGGTCCAACGCTGTTGTCAGTGAATGCTGCTGTCGTGGGTTCGTTGCTGGATGACTCCAGATCATTGCTCTCTTCGAAATTGACTGAGGTGTGAACCATACTTAGCACGGCTGAAGAGGGAAGGGACTGTGCGGCGCAGCCTCCTTGTTCGAGGGTGATGGCAAGCGGCTCTCGACAGATCGAACAGTCAAGCGCAGCGTTCAGTAGCATACCATTCACACCATGCGAAAAGAATGCTTCCATTGATTTGTATGGCAGCTTCGACTCTGTTGACTGGCTCATTGTGATGGCTGATACGAACGGTCGCAATTACCGTTGCATCCGAGTAAGGTGGTATGGTGGTCGTAAAGGTTGAGGAGGAGCACGGTATAGCGAACAGAGGGTATAACAGTGTGGTGAAACAACTGAGGTCGAAAGGTCGGGAGTGATGGTAGAAGGAAGGTGCAGCTGCGCGTTTGTTACTGCAGGCAGCCACAATATCACCCACAAGTTGCGAGCATCAGCACTATATATGCGCAGTATCTGTTCAAATGATCGGACGCGTGATGCAAACGAACGAAAGATACGGTGAGAACGAGCGTCCAGTCAACGTTGAGCATGAAAGCGCAGATCCAGCCGTGCTAGGAGCCTGCGAGGACGGCGCTCATTGATCATGATCAATGCATCGATCCACGTATGATTTGGTCACCATGGCAGTTCGTGGTCCGAAATCACGTTTTCAGTGATGAACTGCGAAGTTGTTCTTCATGCTTCGCAACGACCACAACTCCTCTCACTAAGCCTGCCCTACCCCACCACCTGAACAACCACTTCGCGGCTTGAAAGCTTCCGAGACCAAGCCCGAGTATCTTCAGCCTGCAATCTTGCTCTTCCATGTACTCTGCCAAAGGTGCAAACACGTGCTCTGAGATGTCGACGATCTTGATTGCATCTGCAGGATACCCGAGCCCGGTAAGCTTCTGCCGGTAAGCCTCAGGCGTGTCGAAGTTCGCCCAAGGCGCACCCATCAGCGTTGTGAGGACCCGGAGAACGATTTTCTGAGACGTTGTAGCAGTCGGAGATAGACAGAGGTCAAAAGCCATGATGGAGGCCGCGTAGTATCGCGACATATGATGGAACAGAACCCAGCGTGACGGTGAGAAGTGGTATGCGGTGTCCAATGCAAGAAGCCATGCCTCCTGCGTCACGTTCTGAGCGGCGTGGGAGGCTCTGCACAGATTTTCATCCCAGAGCCATGGCTTGGAAGCATCCGCGCAAAAAACCTTGACTTTCTCCTTCTTCAGCTCTCCAACGCGCATTTCGGCGTACTGGTGCTGCGCCTTGTCCTGTGTAATGCCGATGTAGTGATCAAAATATACTTGGTGGTCCTCGCCGTCCCACCATAGCTTGTCGCAAGGCCGTATTGGCTTCCCGCTCATAAGATGGATAGTCTGCTCACCGCAACCAAAGCCTACGTCAACAAGACATCTTGAGCGATGAGATATCTCCTCTTTAGAGAAGCCAGCTTCGGCAAGCACGAGGTTCAGCAGATCTCGGCACGCTTCAGCTAGGCTCTTGGGTCTGGGAGGATCGGCTTCACTGGCCTATAGAGTTGTCAGTCATCTGCCTCATGATTGACAAGATCACAATCACCTTCCAATAGCCCATGTTCATCCACATGGGTACGTGCGCATCAAGATGCAGTCTTCCGTGCTGCAAGCCATACACGGTCTTCTTGTCCTTCTTACGTCGAGGCCCTAGTAGCGCAATTGCTGCCAAGAACAGCACAGTCGCAGCAGAGCCTTGCTTGGTTATTTGCTCGTTGCCCTTCGGATGCAATGTCGACCACGGCACTGACAGTAGCAGGGCAAGAAGCAGAGGCAGTCCAGAGTACTTCAAAAGCTTCTTGTGTTGGACTTCAAACAGCCTCTTGCCATCGCTTCGTCGTTCCCCGTAGTTCCAGATGCTTATAACGACCGAGACAAGGAAAGACATCTGCAACGAAAGAGACAGAGCTTCGAGTGTCGCCCATTGTTTGCTGTCGCGTTTCCAGTGTGCGGTGACGATGTTGGGCATTTGCTCGGTGAACCGTAGCGATGTGTACCACCATAGCACAGATAGAGCTGCGCCTTTGAAGATGCGCAGAATCATGAAGGCGTGGTGTTGACGACGCGGATGCGTACGCAGGTGCGCACGTATAGATTCAGTACCTTTGCGGAGGCCTAACCGTTTTGGGATAACGTGGTCCACCACCGAGCGGATCACCCCACCGAGCGAATCACCAAATGCAACTATATATCTTTGAACGTGAATAACTCAACACAACAACAAGATATAATAGTGCG